GTATCCCAGGAGACAATGAGTCTGTGAAAACAAACCACTGAATAGTGATAGGCTACTGTAGATCAGGCGACAAGGAGCACTTCTTGCTAAGTGACTGGGGAGACGTAAGCTGGGAAATGAGGGCAAGAGCTCTCTCCTCACACCCCTTCTCATCCCCTAGAGCTTCCTACAGACTTCTAAGACTGCTGCCTGGATGGGGCTCTCAGACCTGAAAGAAGCAGGCAAATGGCAATGGATGGATGGATCTCCTCTGCACTCCAGGTAGCTCCAGGGAGAAGGAAACACCCCCACAGAGTTTGTCTTCTGATATCTGACGCAGGCTCTACCTGGCGTTCCTCTCAACTCCCCAAACTCCAACCCCAAGACTCAGCAATATTCCCTGAGTAGCAGAAGGTGGTCTTCACACACATAGGATCAGGTCAGGTGGCAGGTGCCCCAAATTCTTCATCACAGCTTGAGAAGGGGCATGAAGCCAGAGTAGATGATTGAAAATACAGCTTATTAATAGAAAAATAGAGGAATGGTAGGGCCAACAAATCAAGGGGCAACTGTCATTGGAAAGGTAGCTTGTTATGCTCAAAGATCCCTACAGAGGGAGCACACATCATGCCATGGGGGCCACGTAGGGAAGGACAAGAGCTCACAAACAGGCACAGATAAAGAAACTGCCCACAAGAGCTTTTGTGGAGCTGCTCATAGGAGGAATAGGCAAGAAGCCTTAGAGTTGGCTAGTTGGTGAGGGCAGTGGCCTCTGGGGAGTCAGTACTATCCCAAGTCACCTGACACTCAGCCCTGGGAAGATGTATAGTGACGCTGAGTCCAGAGGGCCACAAGGAGGTGGTGGGATGAGTGGAATATGGATTTATTCCTTTTCTTAAAATTTATTTATTTGATACAGGATCTCACCACACAGTTCAGAATCATAGTGATCCTTGTCTCAGCCTCCCCAGCGCTGAGATTATAGGCGCCTGCCACCTGGCCAGGTTTTAGGGATGGCAGGGCATGGAGTACTGGGGATTGAACTCAGGTCCTTGCACTTGGCAGACAGGCACTTAAACCACTGAGCTATCTCCCCAGCAACCCCCTCCTTTTTGTGGTACCAAGGATTAAACTTGGTACTTTGCACTTGCCAGGCAGGTGCTTATGCCACTGAACCATCTCCCGAGCCCCCTGCATCAAGGTTCTTTAAAGTTTGAAATATGGTTCATCAAGAGCATTGGGGAAAAGGCTCATGTTCTCATGGTCTTTCCAGCTTAAGGCAGTACTTGAAACCAGGGGAACCAAACAAGACAAAGGAAGAGAATTGTGTAGAATTAACAGACGATGGCTGGAGCAATGAGAGGTGTATGCTTGAGAAGTTCTGGATCTGCAAGAAGCACGCAGACAACTGCCCCAGCAAGTGAGGTCTCCTCTCTCCCCAGCGCCTGTGCTCAAACAACCCTGCCAAGTCGCAGACAACTACCCACATTTATTCCAGCCTCTTTTCCTCTGTGGGCATTGCGTTCTTAACAATAGCTCTGGGACTCTTCTTTGTAAGATTGCTCATCCTCTATGGAACTGGAATATTGTCAAGCTTCTTCCTGTGCCTTTCTCCTTGTGTAGACAGAGGTCTGTGTCACTGTGTGTGACCCTCATGCCTCTGAGACATTATCCCACCCCTGCAAACTTCATCTGCTCCAATGCTGTCCCCCTGCCCTCACCTCTTTGCTTCTGGGGACTTTTCCTGATTGAAGTAGCTCTGCCCACAGGCTGGAAGCAGTGAAGGATCAATACCCCATCGATCAAAGACAGTCACCAGTTAATGTATGAAGCCCCACTCCCTCCTTACTTGGGGACAGAGGACATGATGTGGGCCTCCAAGATTTCACTACAGGAAGGACAAGTTTCTCCAGCTTCTTGAATTAGTAGAGAAGCTTTCACTTGTCAGCCCTTCCCTCCTAGACTTCGTTGTGGGAGCCGATTTCTCCAAAGCCTGCCTGCTTCTTGGCTTAGATCCCTTATATAAAGGATGGGGATCTGGATAGGGAAGGCCATTGAGGTTCCAGAGCTCCCTGTGAGGTCAGATACAACTGCTGAGAGGCCATGTCTGCTGGAATTATCCCTGTGTCCATTCCTGCTCCCATCTGGTGCAAAAAGAAGTATATTTGTCTTTTTTAAAAATAATTTTATTGAGAAACAAATAGCAATGAGACAGTTTCAAAACCAATTAGTAGGACAGTCTCAATAATTAATACATTGCATATTGTTGTCTTCTTAGTGGTTATTCATTGTACAAGATGCAGACATGATATCCTGTCCACAAACACTATTAGGACAAATCTTTCTATTCATTGAATTAAGAGGAAGTAGCTGTATATCCATCATAATTATTTTGAATATACAGATACAAAATGGTCCTTCACTTGTATCCCCATTGTTTTGTTTAGTTTTTTCAGAGAAGGGTATTCCTAAATATTTGTCATTTAAATATTGTAGGTGCATGAATTCAGCAAAATATTCATTCCACTATAGTCTAGTAGTCCATAATAGCAGTGGGTTTTCTGTAGGACTGGCAATGTCAGAAGTTGTTGACTTGAGCCTTTTACAGCTCAGCATATTAATATTGCTTTACTTTTTATACTTCATTTTTGTGGGCCTGCCCCTTAGCTCAGTTCTTTAAGTGGCTGCTTCAACAAAGCAGTCAGGCTCAGGTTGCTGTGGTTCGATCCCCACAACTCAAGCCAGCCAAACCTGCCCTGAAGGCATTCAGAGGAAAAAAAAATCCTTCATTTTTATACTTTTCTGCTGGATGGTTGAGACCAAGATAAAGCAAGACCTATATAACAAGAATTACAGCTTTTATATCTGATAAAGTCAGGCAAATCCCCTCAGGATTTAGCCTGAAACCCTGTAGTGCAGCTTGTAGATCCTTTGTAAGTGTCAGCCATGTAGATGAGTCACAGCCAATTGCTTGATCAATTTGCTCAATAAGAAGTATATTTGGACTGCTGAGAACTTCAGGATGGGGCTGCCCGTCATGAAGAACAGATGATTGATTCCAGATTGGACCATCAGGCCCATCTACCAATATGTAGGACTGAGGGACTGGACATGGAGCCCTGTAACAATTTTTAACAGTAAGATTGCTAGTTTCCCAGGTCGTTGAGCACAGGCAGGTGACAGAAGGCAGCACAGCTGCAGCAGCCAATGGAAACTCCACAGAGCTTTCCCGTCCTTTCCTGTGTGGTGCACCTCCTTTCACTTGGCTCTCTCTGGATTCTATCCTTTATAATAAACAGTAAATGCAATCAGTGCTCTTTCTGTGTGTCTTCGCCTGATCTTTCAGGGTACAAAATCTGAGAAGAAATTGTGCAAAGCTCTCATTTTCAGTGGGCCACAAGAAGAGGGGGCACCATGGCTCTCCCCTTGATACAAGCATCTGATTTCAGTCTTGAGGAACTGAGTTCTCTAACTTGTGAAACCCAATGAGAACTCTAGGTACCTAGAGTCAGAATTGGAGGATTACTGGACGTGAAAGTACCTCACATTTCCTGTCACTTCCTCCTAGGTTGGCATGGAGGAACTTCTTCACAAATGACATACATGTTAAATACCATTTAAAACATCAATCTTCAAAATGTTTCTGTCCCATGGATTTTCTCTTTCATGTAGTGGTTTTCAATGGAATTAACTTCTGTTCTTGCTTAGGCAGATGCAGGGACCAGGGTGCTGTGCCGGCCTCACCCCGGGGCGTGCTGAGATGGTGACTGAGACTGGGTGTGGTGGCATGCACCTGTAATCCCAGCGCTTGGGAGGCTGGAAGCAGGAAAATCACTATGAGTCCAATCTGTGTAGTGAAACCCTGTAGACCTGTACTAAATACATTCTAAAAAAAGAATTAACTTCTGTTCTTATTTTCATTATTTACTTTCTTAGGCCTCTCTCTCTCTCCCCCTCTCTCTTCTCTCTTCTCTCTCTGTCTCTGTCTCTGTCTCTGTCTCTCTGTCTCTCTGTCTCTCTGTCTCTGTGTGTGTGTGTGTGTGTGTGTGTGTGTTTTACTCTAATTTCTAGTTCCTTCAGGAAAGAACTTACATTTTTTATTTGCCATCTCTCCTAAGTCAAAGCATAAATTTTACAGCAATTTAAAGATCTACTGGGCTTTGTGTTCATTTCTAGAGTCCTGACATTTTTATTCCTTAAAGTAGAATAAGTGTTCCAATGTTACAAGCGAATTCTTTTTATTTCATAGGTAGAAAAGGGCTTGAAGAAATAGAAATAGAAATCTGGTCTACTCATTTTCAACTTCCTTTCTTTGCAAGGTAGCGACAAGGACACAGAAGAGAAAGCAAATCGCTGAGCAGTGTATATTTCGATCCTCATGCCCACCTTATAGGCTAGTAGGACATTAAGCACCCTCATCCCTAGCTCATACATAGCTAAGCGCACCCTCATAATTAGCTAAGTTTCCAATTTTGTACAAGAATTGGGGCAGGGGAAATTCAACAACACACCTATTGGAACAGGTCTTTTGGAAATTTGGCTATAATCTCCCTAAACTAGATGTCTTAGAAGGTCAATAAATATCTTAGTTGGAGTTTGATGAGGAAAACCTTTAGCATGAGGGATGGCATTTTTGTTTCTAACCTGGCTGATTTGGGCCTGGTACAAAAGTATTTTCATTATAAACTGACATCCAAGCACTACTTTGGCACCATCCTACATATTTTGCTACATTTCATGTTTACTGAGTTCCAAGTATTTTTACACCCTTTGAAACTTATTCTGTAAATGCTGGGTTTCTAGACGTGTCACTGTTTAATTCCAGCAATAGAAAATTTGCTGTCAAACTCTGTTACTGATTTCTCATTGGATTATTCTTCTTTGTCTGGGTATGGAGTAGCTCCAGAAGCCTTGGAAGCAACCCAGACGTCCACCAACTAAGGAATGGATTTTTCAAAATTTGGTACTTTTATTTATTTTTTTTAGGTTTTTTTTTCTACAGTTTTATTGATAAACAGATAGCAATGAGACAGTTTCAAATCAAATCGAAAGTACAGTTTCAACAAATAATACACTGCATATATTCTTCTTAGTGGTTAATTGCTGTACAAGAT